AAGTATTTATTAAGATGCTTCAAATCCAAAATAGCGCTCCAACCCCCCGAGGACTTGGGGATAACAAACAACACAGAATAGAAACCCTGAAAACACTGGTTGACCAGTACCGGTTGGATGGCTTCAATGTTTAGAAGATGACGTATGGCCAAGCTCATTAAGAACTGCTGTTGCCTATTTCCCGAGACTGGGGACCTAATGAAAAAAGGGAACGAAAGGAACTCAAGGGCCAAATCCGTCTTAATTGTAGTGATGACCCAACTGTCAGAAGTGGTGGCTTCCCACACTTCTGCAAAATGAATTAACTGGCTGCCAATGGGGAACCGATCTCCAGGCGGCTCAGCGCCTACGGTAGAATCAGTTCCCCCCACCCCGAAAGGGCCACTTGGACTGATTTCCCCGCTGTTGGCGGTACTGTTGCTGTCTCTGGCATTGCCCAAAGTTATGCTGCTGCCTAAAGGTGGATGGGCTATAACCCTGGTAACTAAAGGATCCCCCACAATCTAGTTGTCTAGCCCCCTGCCGTCTGGAATATGGCCCCGGGCGATATGACCCCTTCTTGTAATTAGTGCGCAAGACCTTACGCTTGTCTTTTCCCTCTACTAGGAGAGGCAGGAGGGAATCCCCAAATAGGTCCCCCCCTTTGTATGGTTCCGAGGTCAGACACCACTTGTGCCGGAGATCAGTTTGCCACTGGCGGGAGGCCACGGAGGATGTCATGGCCCATGATGCGAATCTGGTGGCACTCAGGGTGGCATCAGCCGAAAACTGCACCGCTGCTAGGATTTTGTTCAGGTCCTGATATGCTCTGGAATCCCCAGGCAGGATTCTCCCCTGTAGCTGCTGCAACCAGCTCAAGTTAAAATGAGAAAAAAAGGAAGCTGCCACTGAAGCCCGGACCGCCCAAGTGGCCGCTTGGTAGCCCCACTGGAGGGTTTGGTCAGCCTTCTTCGGGTTTCAGGACCTTCTCCTGGGACCCTGGTAACATAGTGCTAGAGTGAAGTGCCAAAATCGGGGCATCCACGGTCGGCCACAGCAACAGTTTGTTGAGGCACTCAGCCATGTTATAAAAGCGCTTGTCTGAGCTGGATGGAGCCGGGCCAGATGTTGGTATAGCCCATTGTCTCTGAATGGTGTCCGTAAACAATTGGGGAGCAGGGATGGGGTCCATCTCCAATTTATGTTCCATAAACCATGTGTTGGCTGATTTGGTGGCTCCGGAGGTTGAGGGAGCCTCCACCTGTCCCCCCATATCGGCTGCAGCAATTGCCTTAGTTAGCAAAGGCTTGAACAGAGTCAGTGGAAACAGGCCCAAGGCCACCGGCTTGTCTGGGCTAACCCCCTCTTCCTCAGATAAGCCGTCCTCCCTGATCTCCCCCTCTTCCGAGGCTGGAGAATGACTGCACTCTGGGCGCTGAGGTGATTGGTCCACCCCCATGTTGGGCTCGAGGTCATTGTGTGCGCGAACCTGGGTAGCTGGTGGAGGTGTTGGGTGTGCATGTTGCTGCAACCCAGCCACAATCCCCTGTTTAATGGCCTCTGCAATGAAGGACTGGTAGTCCAGAGGCATGGCCGGGGCCAGGTACTTGTGACGGAGGCCCGCAGCCATGGATGTAAAAGTGGCCTCCACATACCTGCTAGGTAGGCGAGGTTCCATAGGGGGTGGCAGCACAGATTGCCCCCAGATACCTGAGGTATTAATAGACAGCATTGGACTGAATGGACCAGGCCTAGAATCCAACTGTGAGGGACGGCTGTGGCCTGAGATGGTAGTGGGGGAATAGCCATGAGGCCCAGCCTTGGTCTGGGGTTGGCTCCTTGTCTGCCGATTTGGAAGCCTTCTTAGATTTGGAGCCCTTACTGGAGGATTTAGAGTCCTTAGAGCCCTCATCATGTGGCTTATTTGCACTTCCGCTTTGGGATGAGGCAGGCAAGGCCAGGGGATCGGGGCCTCCAGCCACTGACAGCAAGCCTCCCTGACTGCTTCTTTCCATGTCAGGTTGGCCTGATGCTGTGTTGTCTGCCATCGGAGGGACCGTTAGTATTCAAGATGGTGGCTGCGCCAAATTCTTATTCAAATGGGTCTCGCACCAATTTTCTCCTCCATATGGCCGCCGGCACTCTCTCTGAGCTTCTGATGGCCCCCTCAGGCCA